CACTCCATTGAACATTGATTTAAATGTTTCCCATTGTTGTTCCATATCATCGGTTGTCAAAATTTGCCCATTTTATTTTCTCAAGTTCTAAGCACAGTCCCTCAAAAATCAGCTTTTTCCCAAACAGTAAACCTGCTTTTTGTCATAGCTATGTTCTTCACTAACATCATCTTAAAAGTCAAAAGTCACACAGCACTAGGTTATAGTCTAACAGGTTTATCTGAAACCTTATTTCCAAAAGGCCTTCGACAAGGTGCTGCACAAGAGGATACTGCATAAGATAAGGATGCATGGCATTAAGGGTAAAGTATTAGCATGGATAGAGGATTGGTTGACTAACAGGAAACAAAGAGTGGGGATAAATGAGTGCTATTCTAGCTCGCAGTCAGTGACTAGTGGTGTGCCTCAGGGATCGGTGTTGGGACCGCAATTATTTACAATTTATATAGATGGTTTGGAGTTGGGGACCACGTGTAGGGTGTCAAAGTTTGCAGATGACACTAAGATGAGTGGCAGAGCAAAGTGTGCAGAGGACTGTGAAACTTTGCAGAGGAACATAGATACATTGACTGAGTGGGCAAAGGTCTGGCAGATGGAATACAATGTAAATAAATGTGAAGTCATACATTTTGGTAGGAGTAATAGTAAAAAGGATCATTACTTGAATGGTAAAAAGTTGCAGCATGCTGCTATGCAGAGGGACCTGGGTGTCCTTGTGCATGAATCACAGAAGGTAGGTCTGCAGATACAACAAGTAATTAGGAAGGCAAATGGAATTTTGTCCTTCATTGCTAAAGGAATTGAAATTAAAAGCAGAGAGGTTATGTTGCAGCTGTACAAGGTGCTGGTGAGGCCACACCTGGAGTACTGTGTGCAGTTTTGGTCTCCTTACTTGAGAAAGGATGTATTGGCACTGGAAGGGGTGCAAAGGAGGTTCACTAGGTTGATTCCGGAGTTGAGGGGGGTTGGCTTATGAGGAGAGACTGAGTAGATTGGGATCATATTCAATGAAATTCAGAAGATTGAGGGGGAATCTTATAGAAACATATAAAATTACGAAGGGAATAGATAAGATAGAAGTAGAGAGGATGTTTCCACTGGCAGGTGAAGCTAGGACAAGAGGGCATAGCCTCAAGATTAGAGGGAGCAGATTTAGGACTGAATTGAGAAGGAATTTCTTCACCCAGAGGGTTGTTATTCTATGGAATTCTTTGCTCAGTGAAGTAGTTGACGCTACTTCAGTAAACGTTTTAAAAAAAAAGGTAGATTTTTTTTTGAACAATAAAGGAATTAAGGGATTCGGTGAGAACATGGGTAAGTTGATCTGAGTCCACGAAAAGATCAGCCATGATCTTATTGAATGGCGGAGCAGGCTCAAAGGGCCAGATGGCCTGCTCCTGCTCCTAGTTCTTATGTTCTTATGCAAGCTTTCGGAGTGTAACCCCTTCATCAGGTGAAGTGAGAGAGACGCACACAGACACAGAATTTACAGGCAGTCAGATCAAGGGCAGAGAGATCAAAAGATCATACAAATGGTGTGAGTGGAGTGTCGAATAATAAGTCTCTTCAGGTGATTAAAAGTGTCAGACTGTGCGATTAAAGTGTCAACAGCTGAATAACAAGGAAAGGCATGACCTATAATCCGATTAAATGATGCAGAAAGATAATTATAAAAAATTTAAAATAAGGTGGTGCTGGAGACAATCCAAATGACTCGAAGAATAAGTATAAGAATCACATGCTGAGTGTCTAAGCAAAGTAATACGTAATCCAAAACTGTACAAACTAATTAAGGTAGAGAGATCATAACAATTTATCAAGGTGATGTTGTCAAAACAGGACAGTGAGGAAGATTTTACAGATACAGAAGTGTGGTTGAGTCACATGTAGCGCGACATGAATGCAAGATCACGGTTGAAGCCATCTTCATGGGTACAGAACTTGGCTAAAGTTTCTGCTCAGTGATTCTGAGTTGTTGTGTATCTCAAAGGCAGCCTTGGAGGATGCTTACCCAAAGACTGGAGGCTTAATGTCCTTGACCGCTGAAGTGTTCCCTGTCTGGGAGGGAAAATTCCGGTCGGGTGAATGGACACCGTGCAACAGTCACCTGTTGTCGAAACATCTGCATAGTCTCACCAATATAACATGCCTCGGGGCATCCTAGCCTGCAACATATGAGATAGACAACATTAACAGAGTCACGAGTATCTGCTGTGTATGCGGTGTCTGGTATTCCCAAGCGTAACGGTGGTATCCATGTCGATGATCTGACATGTCTTGCAGAGGTTGCCATGGCAGGGCTGTGTGATGTTGTGGTCAATGTTTGTCCTGAAGGCTAGGTAATTTGCTATGAATAATCATCTGTTTGAGGTTTGGTGGATTTCTTAAGGCGAGAAGTGGGAGCATAGAGATGATCTTGGCGATATGCTCTTCGTCATCAAAGACATGTTGAAGGCTGTGAAGAACATAACGTAGTCTCTCTGCTCCAGGGAAATACTGGACTGCGAATGGTACTCTATCGGTCGTATCCTGTGTCTGTCTTCTGAGGAGGTGATTGCGGTTTTTCTCTGGGGCACGTTGGAACTGGCAATCGATGAGTTGAGCATTGTATCCTGTTCTTATGAGGGCATCCTTCGAAATCTTTAAGTGTCTGTTGTGTTTCTCCTCATCTGATCAGATCCTCTGTATGTGCAGGGCTTCTCTGTAGGGGATGGCTTCTTTAATATGGCGAGGGTGGAAGCTGAAGAAGTGAAGCATTGTGAGGTTATCTGTGGCCTTGCGGAAGACTGAGGTACTGAGGTGTCTGTCCTTGATGAAGATGCGTGTGTCCAAGAATGAAACTGATTCTGAGGAATAGTCCATGCTAAGTCTGACAGTAAGATGAAACTTGTTGATATTGCTATGTAGTCATTTCAATGATTCCTCACCATGAATCCAAAGGAAGAAAATGTCGTCGATGTATCTGGTGTTTAGCACTGGTCAGAGGTCCTGCACAGCAAAGTCTTGCTTGAACTTGTGCATGAAAATGTTGCATATTGGGGTGCAATTTTGGTCCCCATGGCTGTTCCATGTGTCTGGATGAAGAACTTGTTGTTGAAGGTTAAGATGTTATGGTAGAGGATGAAGTAGATGAGTTGTAGGATGGCAACTGGAAATTGGCAGTTGTTGGTATTGAGTACTAAGGCTGTTGCAGCAATGCCGTCATCATGGGGGATGCTAGTGCAGAGTTCCAAAACATCCATTCTGACGAGGAGTGTTCCTGGTTCGACTGGTCTGCGGGTGCTGAGTTTCCGTAAAAAATCTGTAGTATCACAACAGAAGCAATGGGTTTGTACAATGGATTTCAAGATGCTTTCCACATAGCCACAGACTTCTCACACAGGGTCCCATTTGCCTGAGATAATGGGACATCCAGGTGTGTTGGCTTTGTGTATCTTTGGAAGGCAGTAGAAGTCTCCTATGTGAGAAGTACACAGAATCACTGAGCAGAAACTGATAGCCAAGTTCCGTATCCATGAAGATGACCTCAACTGTGATCTTCAGTTCATGTCATGCTACATGTGACTCCACCACACTGTTCACTACCTGTAAAATATTCCTTACTATTCTGTTTCGATAACATCACCTTAATAAATTGTCATGATCACACTACCTTAATTAGTTTCAGAGATAGTAGGAACTGCAGATGTTGGAGAATCTGAGATAACAAGGTGTAGAGCTGGATGAACACAGCAGGCCAAGCAGCATTAGAGGAGCAGGAAGGCTGACGTTTCGGGCCTAGACCCTTCTTCAGAAAGTTTTCTGAACACAGCCTGCTGTGTTCATCCAGCTCTACACCTTGTTACCTTAATTAGTTTGTATGGGTTTGGATTACGTATTACTTTGCTTAGATGCTTGGCATGTGATTCTCATATCTACCATGTTATTCCAGTCATTTGGATTGTCTCCAGCACCACCTTATTTTTAGTTTTTTATAATAATCTCTCTGCCTCATTTAATCAGATTATAGTTCATCCCTTCACTTGCTACTCAACTGTCAACATTTTACTCTCACAGTCTGACACTTTTGATCACCTGCAGAGATTTATTATTCAACACTCCACTCACACCATTTGTCTGATATTTTGATCTCTCTGCCCTTGATCTGTCTGCCTATAAATTCTGTGGTTGGTGCTTCTCTCTCACTTCACTTCATGAAGGGGCTATACTCTGAAAGCTTGTGGTTTCACATAAACCTGTTGGACTATAACCTGGTGCCATCTGACTTCTGACTTTGTCCATCCCAGTCCAACACTGGCACCTCCACAGCACCTTAAAATATACTACATTACGGTCACTATTGACTGGGTGTTCCACTTATTTTCTTTTGCTTATCTACTCTGGTTCATGACTAGATCTAAAAGCGAAACCTACTTTCTTGGGTTTATTTTTATATATTGCGTTAGAAATGAAATCTATACACATCATAAGAGCTCTATTTTCTTATTCGTTTTACTATGAAGCCCACTCAATTAATGAGTTGCTAAAATTCCCTAGTGTTGCATTGTCAGAGGGGGTCATTACTCCACTAAAGGACAGCTGCACTGTCACAGAGGGTCAGTGCTCTACTAAAGGAGAGGTGCACCGTCAGGGACAGCCAGTAAAGGACCGAAGGAAAGCTGCAGCGTCAGGGACTCTGTACACAGGGTTGATCGCACTGTACAAAGGGCACATTAAATTGAAGGTCTATCTGGTTGGTAAATAATATTTAAAGGATCCCATTAGCACTAACTGGTTCGTCGACATCACTAAAATCGATGTATCCGGTCAGTCTTGGGGTGGAAGCTTGCAGTGCATCAATTGACTAGGAGTACATTAAAACGTTCTGCCACGACCAAAGTCAGTGAAAAGTGCTGTCAGTTTGAGCGTGCTCCTCACTTTAGAAGACTCTGTGCGTCAATTTTGCAGTCACTTTCTCTCCGATTTCCTCGTCCTACATTAACCCGTGGTAATGTCCTTACCTTTGAGCCAGGAGATCCGGGTTAATGTCCCACCCATTCCAGAGGACCTTTCTGAACGGCCTGATGAGAAATCAGTTTTATTTTATCCCAGAGATAGTAGGAACTGCAGATGCTGGAGAATCTGAGATAACACGGTGTAGAGCTGGATGAACACAGCAGGCCCAGCAGCATCAGAGGAGCGGGAAGGCTGACGAAATCATTTCTGAAGAAGGGCCCGAAACGTCAGCCTTCCCGCTCCTCTGATGCGGCTGGGCCTGATGTGTTCAACCAGCTCTACACCCTTTATTTTGTCCCACGTGCCTGTGCGCCGCTGCCGACGGTCCTTCTGTGTCGTCACTGCGCCGTGCGTGCGCGCTCTGGCAGGACAGAGGGAGCGCGCGGCGGTTACGCTATCAGGAAAGCGGGAGCGCGGAGCTGGGAACAGGTGAGAGCGCGGCCTGGGCTCGGGGCCTATCACCCCTTCATTCCCCACCCGCGAGTAGCATTACCCCGCAGTCCCGCCTGTAGTCACTGGGACCTGCCCGACTGTCGCTGCGTCTCAGAAACTAACCGTTATCAATGCACTTAGAAACTACTCCCACTTTTGCCCCATCCCCATCTTCCCCTCCCCCACTCTGGGTGGGCCCCCTAACCCATCCTCGACCATTTTTACCCTCCTTCCTCAGATGAATGGCCCCGCTGTACCCTTCTCTGCGTGCAATACTCATCCATTTCCCCTTCCACTGGAAGTGACATGCACCTTCCCTCTCCCTCCCTTCACCTTTCCCCAGAGATCAGTTCAGCTTGCAACTCCTCTGGGGTGAGATTCCCACCTGTTTCTCTTTCTACTGGGATGAGTTGCTACTCCTCCATTTCCATTTCCACTTCCCTCACCCTCACCCTTACCCAGTGGTGAGAAGCCATCTGCTCACACCCCCCTTACCCAGTGGTGAGAAGCCATCTGCCCACCCCACCCCCACTTTTCTCCTTCCCTGGCATGAGATGCCTTCTCATGTTGCAATTAACCCTTTCCAGCCCCTAACATCTTGGGGTGTCCTTATTTGTAGTTGTAAAAACAATATATAACTCGCTACAGGAGCATAATGTTATTCTTGGTTTGAGCAACTATCATGGACAAATATGATACTGGTTTTAAACACTGAAATAAGATTCTTACTCATTTCCTTATTTCAGTTCTACTGTGTGCCAATTTAAAACAATGAGATCTTGTATTGGTATAGTGCTGTTTTATGTCCTTAAGGTGTTTTGAATTACTCTTAAAGTGTAATCAATGTTGTGAGGCCTATTCATTTAATCTATTCTGATCATGATTGCTGTTATGTAGAAGATCTGAGAATTCTGTGCTCAGTGACAATGCCTCTTCAAATGCAAGTCCTAAATTTATAATTTCTCCCAGTTGTGACACCTTTCATGGTGTAGCACTCTCTTAGTGCTGTCCGCTGTATAACTATGCAGCACTTCCTCAGTACTCCCTCTTGAAGTATCGTGCTCTCTCCGTACTAATCCTCTGATAGCACAGCACTGCAAATGAAGTCACACAAATTCCAAGATTGGGACTTCAACATTCTCACTTCGCACAGCCATTTATTCCAATCTGTAGGTAGTTATCCACCTGTATTGGGAAATTAATGCTAACTTTTTCTATAATGATGAAGTCAGTCATAACAGTGACACTTAACAATGTTTACACTGAGCTGGCTATTTTAATTAGACTCTGGTATTCAGTAATCACTCCACTTATTAATTTATAATTATCTAATTCACTAAATTTACAGATTTAACATCTGCATTGAAGTAAAGGTGACTGTATCAAATATCATTGATTGCTGTAAAAAACCCATCTAGTTCACTAATGCCCTTTAGATAGGGAAATCTGCCATCCTTATCTGTATGGCCTGCATGTGTTTCCAGACCTGTAGCAATAGTTGACTCTTCACTGTCCTCTGAAAATCACTCATTTTAAGGGTGATTATGGATGGAGGACAAATGCTACCTTGCCAATGATACACAGATCTCATGGAAAAAAAAGGGAAAACAAAACTTAGGTATTCCATCAACTTCATCTCTGTAAAGTGCATGGTTCCCTACAATTTCTAATTGTAGAATCAAATAGCACCAAAACTTGTATTTCTAGGAATACAGGAGCAAAAGTAGGCCTTTTAGCCTCTTGAGATAGTAGGAACTGCAGATGCTGGAGAATCCGAGACAACAAGGTGCAGGGCTGGATGAACACAGCAGGCCAAGCAGCATCATAGGAGCAGAGAGGCTGACGTTTCGGGCCTAGACCCTTCATCAGATGATGAAGG